CGCCCCACAAGCCTGAGGGCTAGCAGGCCCCGTTGGCCTTCCTGAATCTCCGGGCGGGCAAGGCAGGACAGCCTCTGCCTGGCACCGGAGTCAGCCTCCACCCCACCTGGGCAGTGGACTTGGACAGCTTTGGCCAAACTGGGCGTTTCCTGCAGAGATAAGGGCCCTCCCAGCGCCCGGCCGAACATCTCCCAGCGCCCGGCCGAACATCTCCCAGCCAGCCTGGGGGTGGCCGAACTCTCCTTTGTCCAGGGCGCAAACCCCAGCTCCTGAAGCCATTGGTCCTCAAGCTGCGGCTCCACTCCCTGGGAGTCCCCGCTTTTGAATTCCCCGGGGACCTTCCCGCTGCGGTCAGATGGACCTCTCAGAGCAGTGGAGATCAGGGGAGCTAGCAGAGCGGGGATGTCCCTCCAGAGTGAGGGGCTGAGGGGGGCAGCCTCCTAACCCTGCCTGGGATGGAAGGCCAGAGTGGGTTCCTCAGTGGGGGCGACAGCGGGGACTCTCCGGCAATTGTCCCCGGCCCTCCATCTTGGCGAGGGCAGGATCAGCGTGGGCTGCTTTGCATCTCTTTGCATTTAGAAGTGTTTGGTCCAGTCCTGGCCCGCCCGGATCTGGGGTTAGGGCAGGTGCCGGCGGGGTGGGGCCGGGGTCGGAGAAGGGCTTCCTGCTTCGGGGGAGCCTTTTGCCCTGAGCCTGGCTCCGGGCGACAGCACAGTGCTGGGCTAGGGGCGCGGCTTGAACTCCCGGAGGAGCTGCGCCCCGTCAGTGAGTCCCACGGCCCTCTGCTCTGTCCTGAGTCAGGCCTGGGTCCAGCCTGAAGGCGGGGGTGGACCAGATGACCTTTCTCGGGCCGCGGGCCTGGATCCAAGGTCCCCGGGGTCCAAGTCCTGGATTGGGGGGCGGGGCGCGAGGGGCGGGGTCTCCAATGGGCGGGGTCCCGGGGGCCCTGAAAGGCGCAGACCTGGCCGGACCCTCCCAGTCTCGCGCCTGCAGCCCTTCCCGCCCCAGCCGCCACCACCCGGAGCTGCCATGCCCAAGTGCCCCAAGTGCAACAAGGAGGTGTACTTCGGTGAGTGCGCGCACGCCGGCCCCGCAAGGAGGCGCCGCTGAGGGGCGACGGGGCTGGGGGCTCCTCGGGAGGACTGAGGCGCTGGGTCCCCTGGGCGCCGCCTCGGAGCAGACGCCTTAGCCTGGCGCGCGCCTGCCCTGGGAGGAGGGTGGAGACCCCTGCGTCCGAAGGCCGCACGATCGCTGCCGGTTCGCGGTCTCGCTGTGCTCGGCGGGCCGCCTCTGGCTCTGAGCCTCCCCGTCTCTGGGCCCTACGATCTCTGCCGTCTCCTCTCGGGCGCACCCTGGGTGGGGGACCCGTGGGGCTGGAAGGAACGCGAGCCTGGGGCGGCGCCTCCCAATGCAAAGTAGAAACAGACGCGGAAACTGACGCCCGGGGCGCGATCCCTGACGCCCGCCTTCCTGCCCCGCGCGCGCGCCCCGAGGGGAGGGAGGAAGTGGGAAGTCACCCCTGTCCTCGCCTTGGAGAAGGGCTCCCACAGGCTCCACTCTTGCCACCACAGAGGCCGGGGGCTGAAAGCCGGCAGCCTGGCCTAGGCCTTCCTGACCCAGCCCGGACCCCTGACCCTGGGCCCCGCCCTTCAGCCCCACCCAGCCCTCAGGAGCAAGACTCAGAGCCACACCCCCCAGTGGCCCAGGCACCAGGCAGGTTGTATTGGCTCTGGGGATTGGAGATTGGCGCTGTTTGGTTGTAATGGCTCTGTCCTCATGGGACAGGTGGCTGAGACCTTAGGGTGGGCTGCCAGGCTGGAGCCCCAGTGCACAGGGCTTGGGCAGAACTGGCTGCAAGAGGTGGGAACGCCAGCGGTGGGTGTGCGTGGAGTCCCCCAGCGTCTCACGGGGCCTGTGTGTGCCTCTGCAGCCGAGAGGGTGACCTCTCTGGGCAAGGACTGGCATCGGCCTTGCCTGAAGTGTGAGAAATGTGGGAAGACGCTGACCTCCGGCGGCCACGCTGAGGTAGGTGGGACCCGCCCTGGTGGCAGGGCCCAGGGGTGATGGGACCACCCCTTCACGGCCCTTCTCTTTGCAGCACGAAGGCAAACCCTACTGCAACCATCCCTGCTACGCAGCCATGTTTGGGCCTAAAGGTATGCGCCCCGTGCCTTGTGTCCCTGCCCACCCCACAGCCCAGTCTGCATCTCCCTGTTGACTTTTTCCACCTTCTCTGCAGGCTTTGGGCGGGGTGGAGCCGAGAGCCACACTTTCAAGTAAACCAGGTAGGTAGGACCCCACCCCTGTCCTGCCCCCTGGTTCTACTCTTGGGCTGGGGATGCCCCCTCCCAGGGAGGCCTGACCACTCATGGGGTCCAAAGGGAGGCCGTGCACGCTGCACTCACGTCTGTGCCTGTCTCTCTCTGCACAGGTGGTGGAGACCCCATCCTTGGCCGCTGGCTGGGCCACTCACTGTCCAGCAAATGCCAGGCCTCGTCCCCCGATGCCCAGGGCTCCCTTGTAGCCCCTAATGTCCTCAATAAACCTGAACACGTGGAAAGCCTGTGTGTGTATGTGCGTGCTCGTGCTGGGTGAGCCAGGGTGTGCAAGGGGGCTGCAGTGGAGCTCTGGCCACAGCTCTGCCTGCCAGTGGCACCTCCAAGGCGGGGACAGAGGTGACTTCCCACTTCCTGTGCATCACCCTCCCCAGGGCGCCGTTCCAGGGCCTCATAGGGCGGGCCCGTGTGCAGAGTGAGTCCAGGCCACCCTAGACAGCCTGCACCCAGCCCTGCTGCTCTGAGCCCACCTCCACAACCTCCAGACCCTCAGAGGTGCCCCTGAGCTCTCCTGGCCTTCTGGGAGTAGGAGGGGAGGCTTTGAGAGGCCTGGGGGTGGGTGGGGCTGGCCTCGGGTCAGGGGATGAATCAGCTCACTGGTTCCGTTTCTGAGAGGCTCTACGGGAGCTGTGGGGACTCCTAGCCTTCCCCCTTCCTGCCTCCCAACCCTGTCCTCATTCCCCAGCCCTCCAGGCCAGGCCGAGCTTCTGCAGGGGCCTGATGAGGCTGCTCTGCTCCTGACCCAGACACCACTGCCCCACGTGCGTCCTTGTCTGCTGTCTACCCCGTGCCCAGGGACTTACCCTGTGGCCCGGCGTCCAGCGGGGAACTTGAGTGCTGGCCGTGCACAGGGGCTGAGGGTCCTTCTGGAAACTCCCTTGTCAACTCAGCCAGCCGCTGCTGGCCGGGCACCTTCAGACTCCCTTCCCTACACTGGCCACTTAGATTCTGGCCCTAGCAGAAGGCCACCCCCAAGGATACCCACTGACATAAAAGAGCCCAGAGACCTCACCCTGCCCTAGGGCTGTGGTGGGTGTGCCGCAGGCTCCGCTGGACAGGAGCTGTGTGGGGACAGTCTAGGGTAGCCCAGAGTGGGGTGTGTGGGGTGACTGGGAGATTCCCGGGATCCCAAGAGCTGGGAACCACAGCGGTTTTGGTGGGATGGGGGCACGGGAGGGGGGATGCCGGGGTGCCGAGGTGAGGCCTCGGTTCTGGACGGTGGTGGGTGGCGCTGCGGGAACTGAGAGCTTTGACTCAGCGACACCTGGTGCAGAGGAAAATCCGCAAGCTCGGGGCTGGGAGAGCGCGGAGCAAGGCTGCAGAGGGGCCCGCCATCCCCCACGCTTCCTGCCAAGTTCCTGCGGCGCCGTGGGCCCCCACCCCTGCCCCATCCCCCTGGCTCCTGCCGCCGTGTAGCTCGCAGGTGCAGAGGCGCTCCGAGGAGGACGCCCTTGGCTTCGAGGAAGCCGCCGGCGGGGCGAGGAGCTTGGTCTTCCTCCTGGCGCTGGCGCCGTGAAGGAGGTCGCGATGCGCCAGAGGGAAGGAGGCTGCGGGCGGAGGAGGCCGGAGGGCGTGCGGAGAGGGGCAGGATGGGGCCTGCTCGGGTGGGGTTCCTGAGGGCCAGGAGGGCTGCCTGGAGGAGGAGATGGGGGCGAAGGAGGCTGGGAGGGAGGTGGGCCGGGACCCCTCGGGCTGCGCCTCGTGTGGGCGCGGCCAGCCAGGTCTGGGGGTCCAGGGAGGCCCGAGCTTCCCGCCCCCGCCTTCGCCGCCGTCCTCGCAGCCCCGGGGTGGTGCAGGGGCATCGCGGGAAGAGCCCGGAGACGCCGCTGGCCGCGAGCCGGCCCGACCTCCTGTCCCCGCAGGCGGCCCCGCGCTTCTCCCGGCCCGCGCCTTTCGGGGCCGCCCGTGCACGCGGGCCCGGCTCAGCGGGGCTCGGGCAGCGGCTGCTTCCCGCGCCGGCTTCCTCCGGGGCTGCTCCGCGGCGGCGGCAGAAGGACGCGCGGCCGCGGGCGGGCGAAGACCGGGAGCGCCGGCGGAGGCGGCGGCGGCGGGCCCGGGCCGCGCGTTCGGGACGGGGGAGTTGCCGGGACCTGGCACCAGGAGCCCGGGGCCGGCAGCACCCGGAGCTGCGCTGTGAGGCGCGGCGGGCTCCGGGCGCCTCCTGGCGGCCGGGCCGGGGAGGCGGCGCGGGGGGGCGACGCTCGTCGGCTCTGACTCCGTGGGGCCCGGCTACGCTGCCTGCCGCGGCCCCCAGGGGGCGCCCTCGGGAGTCTGCGCGCTCCAGCCGGGCGGTTGCTAGGTTACTAGGGGCGTGAGGCGCTGATGGGCGGGGTCTGGGCGAGGCGGGAGTCGGGTTCGTGACGGTAGAGTCGGCAAGGGCGGACTCCGCGGACTTCACACAGGCGGCACTGCCATCAGCCCGGAAGTGGGTCCGCCCGGGACAGAATTAGACTACACTCAAACTCAAGGGAAACCGTTCATTGGGCCGGGCCTCAAAGGCGGGTCCCTGCCGACGCGGTGATTGGATGCAGGCCCGGCCAGCACGGTGATTGGTGAAAGACCCGGCCAGCGCGGCGCTAGTCCGGGCGTCCCGTGCGGTGATTGGGCGCAGGTCCAGCCGGCGCGCTGATTGGGAGCTGGACACGGCCCGTGCGGCGATTGGGTACAGGTCCCAGCCGCTGCGGTAGAGCCTGCCCGTGCGATGCTTGTGCGCAGGTCCCGGGCGGCGGCGGCGGGCGATCCGAAGGAGGCTGGTGCTGGCTCTATGGGGAGGCGGCGGCGGCCGGTGGACCCCGCGGCTGGGGCCCGGGCCGGGGCCCTGCCTGAGGCCATCGCCGCGTTGAGTCAGTCGTTGCCCTCCGGACCCAGCCCGGAGATCTTCCGCCGCGCCAAGTTCGACCGTCCGGAGGCGGTGACGCTGGCGCGGAGGGCAGCCGGGCCGGGTGGGGTCCCGGGCCCTCGCAGGGAGTTGGGCCAGCTCCACTGACTGCCCGCTTTTTATTTTCCGCAGACCCCCGCGCTCTGGCAGCTTCTCTTCCGCGTGCTCGCGCCACTCCCTCTGGACAACCGCCTGGCCTCGCTCGCCCCGGGTAAGCCCCGCTCCCGGCAGGCCCTGGCCCCGCCCACCCGGTAGCACCGGCCCCCCTCCTGCCCCTGTAAAGCCCCGCCTTCCCCAGTGAGCCACGCCCCTGGCAGGTTATAGCCCCACCCACCCTAGTGGCACGGGCCCCACTCCCGCAGAGCCCCGCCTTCCCCAGTAAGCCACGCCCCTGGTAGGCTCTAGCTCCACCCCCTTGGGTAGTTCCGGTTTCTGCACCTACAAAGCCGTGGGGCCGTCCCTGTTGGCCCTTGGCCTCCTCATCCTGGTCTGAGTTCCAGCTCTCCCACCGTAGTTTCTTATGAGCTAGGCCTTGAGCCCCTGCTCGAGTGATCTGTGGGGCTCTCTGGAGGCATTCAGGTGGCGTCACCTCCAGGCTTGTGGTTGCCTGAGCTGGTGGTCTTCTATCCTAGAGGTCCAAGCCCGCTTGGTGAAGTCAGCACTGCGCTCCCAGGGCTACCCGCGGCTGGCACTGGCGCAGCTCCCTGAGGATGGCTCCCAGGGCAGCCGGGAGCTGCTGCTGGCTCTGTCCTGGCTCTTGGCCCGAGGACCTGTGCTTGAGCAGATGCTGGCCCAGACCCGAGTGCCTCTGGGTGATGAGATGACTGTGTGCCAGGTGCGTGTGGGTGAGGGTGGGCCGAGCCAGCCCTGGTCTCAACTCCTGGGGCCAGAACAAAGGCAGGCCTGGGCTAGCCTCCTCGGTGTCTCCTGCCCGGACACTCAGGGCAGTCCCACAAAGTGTTACCTAGCTGCCTGCTGAAAACATGGAAGCTCCCTGTGCAGGAAGCACCCTTTGTCCTTGGCTGTGCCTCCACTGCCCTCTTCATCCTGGCTTTTCCTGGGGTTAGAGTGGGGTGGGAGCAGGGCCTGACCGTTGCCCTTCTCCAGTGTGAGGCCCTGGCCAGCCCTGGCCCACCTGCACCCCAGGTGCGAGCAGAGGATCCTGTGGATGTCCGCCATGTGCAGTGGCTGATGGGAAAGCTGCGGTTCCGGTGGCGCCAGCTGGTGTCCAGTCAGCAGGAACAGTGCACCCTCCTGAGCAAGGTAGAGCTGGCACAGGGCTTCCACCCAGGGGCTGTGTCCTGTGCTGCAGGCCCCCAGCTGCCGGTCCCTGTGGCTCGTGCTGTGAGGCCTGGCATAGGCTTTTGGCTGGATGTGGACCTTCCTGCCCCAGGCTTACCCAGAGCCTGACGTGGTTCCAGGTGGTCCTTGTGGGGATCCAGGGCAGGATGGAGGTGGGCAGTGCTGGGCAGTGGTGGGCAGGGTGTCAGAGAGCTCACAGAAATTGCTTTCTTGTTCCTGAAAGGCACCAGAGACCTTCCGGCTCTGTCACTAAATATTGTGATGGGCTCTGTGCCACTCCCTCCTGGGCACTGGAGAGGGAGGAGGACACACCCTGTTTCCACCACATCCTGCTTGGGGCTGACTTGGGTGGGCAGTTCCTGTGGGGCTCTGAAGGTGGTAGGGGTAGGCTCAGGGTCACAGGTGCCCAGCAGCATGTCCACTGTGAGGCCAGGGCTGACAGGTGCTTCTGTGGCAGCAGCAGGCTCCCAGCCTTGCAGAGGGTCTGTTGCTCAGCCAGCCTTTCCAGGGACCTCTCACCCTGTCGGGCCTGGCTTTGACACCAACCACCATGCTTACCTACTGTGCATGCCCCTCTGTGCTGCCCTCCAGCCCGCCTCTCTGGGAAGCCCCTCTCATTCCCCTAGATCCAAGCACTCACTCCCATCCCCACTGTGAGCCTGTCCGGAGGCTGTCCTCCTCCGATGCTGTGGGGGAAGCCAGGGCGCCCCACTGCAATCCTGCTGCTGTCTGGGAGCTGGGTGGGGTGGGGAGGCCATCAGTAAAGCTGCCTGGCCACCCCTGCAGGAGGCCCCAGCGGTGCAGACAGCGGTCCTGCATGCAGCCCAGCCCTGACAGCCTCAGGCGGAGTGGCTGGCTCCGAGCCCTGTTTCCGCCTCTGTGTGGTGGGTTCTGAAGGCTGACCTTGTTGGACTGGTGGAGTTCAGTGCTGGGGGAGGTGCCTGCTTCCCACTCAGCCTGGAGTCTGTACCGCCTGTTTCAGATCCACCTGTACACAAGCGGCTGCCATGGGGACCACAGCCTTGGTCATCTGTCCGTCGCTGAAGCAGAGATGCTCAGGGACCCGGAGGGAGGCCAGCAGGTGAGGGCGGGTGAGTTGCTCGGGAGGCACTGCCTGAGGTGGGAAGGGCCCTTGGGGGGCAGGGAGTGGTGGGTGTCTCTGTGTTTCTGCCACCCATCATCACCGGCATGGGTGACAGGCGTGTCCTCTGGGCCTCTCTTAGCCTCAGGGGCCGCTCCCCTTTCCCTTCCACAAATCCAGGCAGGGCGTGGGTGGGGGCCCAGGGACACAGGAGCCTGGGCTGGGCCGGCAGCTGGCTGAGGGTAGGTTGCTGGAATGAAAGTGTGAGCCAGTGGTGTTGGCACCTCAAGTACAGTAGGTCTCACCTGGTGTGGCAGGGCCCTGGGGGTGTGCAGAGATTAGCCCACACTGGGTGAAGGGCTGGGCACAGGGCTGACCGTGGCAGGGACAGCTACCCTTCAGAGCCCAAGGCCAGGCCCACATGGGTATGCTGCGTGGAGCCTGCCAAGCTGGAGCCAGCCCCATAGGCCCTGGAGACTTGCATGCCCCATTTTGCTTGCCACCCTGGGGCCAACCAGGGCACACAGCCCCAGGCGACAGGGCTCTGTGGTCCCGTGCAGATCCTGAGCCCTGGATAACACAGACCTGGAGAAAAGCCTGGCTCTGAGCCCCGGGTGGCCATGTGACTCTGCACCGGAAGTGTCAGAGTTGACTTAGCCTCAGGCATCTTCCCGAGGGATGGTCACTTCCTCTCACCCTGCTACTCCCCTCCCCTCCTCCCTGCCGGCCTTCCACCTTCATCCTTCTTTCTGGGGGCCTGCCCACCTTTCATCACTGGCTCCTTCCTCTTGGCCAGCTTGGTTTCAGGGGACAGGGAAGGGCTGGCAGCCCCTCTTTTTATTTTTTGAGACAGTCTTGCTCTGTTGCCCAGGCTGGATTGCAGCAGTGGCGTGATCTCGGCCCACTGCAACCTCCGCCTCCTGGGTTCAAGCCATTCTCCCGTCTCAATCTCCTGAGTAGCTGGGACTACAGGCATGCATTACCACATCTGGCTAATTTTTTAGTAGAGATGGGGCTTTGCCATGTTGGCCAGGCTGGTCTTGAACTTCTGATCTCTGGTGATCCACCTGGCTCAGCCTCCCAAAGTTCTGGGATTACAGGCATGAGCCACCCACTTGGGCTGGGCTCTGTACTGTCCTGAGTGACAGACTGGCACTGCCCAGCTCCGGGCAGGTACGGCCAGGCAGGAGGGCTGTGGCTCAGGTCTGGTGTGACCCTTTTTTCCAGGCCCGGTCCTCCTCTCTGTCTCTTCCCTCTCCAACTCCAGAGTCTTGGCCCCTGTACCTCATCCCAGGCCTGCCCAGGGGGACCCAGGGATCAGAGGTGGATGGCCTGGCTCCCAGCCCCCAGCCTTATGTCTGCTGGGGCTTCCTGCTCATGGCAAGGGCCTGTGCGTTCCACTCTGCAGCCCCAACCCTGGGGGACTGCATGCCGCACTGTGGGCTCACAGGGCCCGCTTCCGCTTGCCTGGCTCCTGGTGCCAGCTGGTCCTGTCCCTGGCTGAAGTGGGACTGGCACCCGCCCTGTCGGCCTGCATTGGCATTGGCGGTGCTGAGGCAGCATCTGGGCGCCCTGGTCTGCCCTTTGCCCTGCCTCCCTTGTAGAGGTGGCTCTGCAAAGCCCAGGCTCCTGGCCCCTGGGACCCCTGGGTTGGGGCAGAGCACAGGCTGCCCTGGCCTCAGCCTGCTTCTGCCCAGGGAGCCTCTGTGGAGACCACCGTCTGTGGTGGCCTCACCTCCAGGCCCCGTCCTCTCCTGGAAGCTGTGTGCGGTGCTGGCCAGATGGACTGGGGCCACGGGCTGGCTTCCTTCCAGGGTTTCTGGAGTGGGAACTCCCCCGAAACCTGGACCTGGCCTACCCGAAGGGCTTGCACTTCTCCTGGACTCCTGGGATGGGTCCCAGAACCTTCTGGAAGGATCTGTAGCTGGTGTGTGAGCAGCCAGGCCTGCTGCTGGGTGACTGGCGGCTCCCTTGGGTCCTGGTGGGACTCAGCCTGCAGCCTGCTCTCCCCACTCAGGGCAGTGCGTGAGGGAGGCTGGCAGGCGTGAAGACCACAGCACTTGGGGGTGGGTGGGAGGGGCAGTAAGAGGCGCGTTTGTCCCTCCTTTCCTGCCTGCTCCCGCCCCCGGGGGGGCCTTTAGCTTCATGGAAACTGCAGTAACTGCCCTTCTGTTCTGTTAGTTGACCGCTTCTGTTAGGTGATTGTCCTCCTGTTGGGGGTGTTTAGGCATCTGTCCCTATGGTGGGGTCTTTGCTCTTATCACGGCCTGCCTAGGTGGGCATGTGGGTGGCCCCAGCCTGCTTCAGCTCCCACGTCGCCCACAGACCTCCCTGTTCTCACCTTCTCTGACTGCAAGCCTGCCTCCCTCTGCTCTGCTCCACTCTCCTCTGCCCCAGGTGGGCTGGGTTGAGCCTGCTGTTCAAGGCCATCCCTATCTGCCCCCCAGCCACTGCTGGAGTCCCAGACTCCTGCAGCCTGGTTCACACTCTGGGTTCCTTGGGAGGAAGGGTGGAGTGGGCAGGATTCAGATGCAGAGGGCCTGTCCCCACGGGGGTACACCCTGCCCCAGGGCCCAGGATCACTGGTGCAGATAGCCCATGAGTACACGTGCCCACCTTCTGCGTGTGGGCAGAGTAGCCACCGTGTCTGGCCGTTTCCAGCCGCCTTGCCTGTCTGTGGCACACTGTGGGCAGGTGCCTTTGTGCAGCGCCATGGGGCAGACCCTTCGCTTGGGAATGTCAAGTGTGGCTCAGCTCTGCCTTCTCTGCCACCTGGGCCACTAGGCAGACTCCTTAGGGGGTCCCTGAAGTGACGGGGTGGTTTTTTCCCTCCCCAAGAGCCTGGCTGGCTCCCCAGTTTGGGGCCTCCTCCCTGCCTGCAGCCCCCAATATAGTCCCCATTTAGTGAGGGGTGTGGGGCGGAGGTCTAGGCTTCAGAAGCACCTGGACTCTGTCCCTGACCTTGTTGGACTCGCAGAGGGGCTGGTGTTGGTGTGGGGGGCAGCAGGTGTCCTCAGAGGGTAGGGCCAGCCCTCGTCTGGCAGGCAGGGCCTGGCTGTGTGTTGAGGGCTGCCCTGTGCTGCAAAAAGGACAGGTGGCCTGTGGTCGCCGCACCGCACCAGGGTGCCCTGCTTGTCGTTCTGGCCAGAGAACCTGGGTGCAGGCAGGGGAGGGCTGCAGGGGTGGGGCGTGTGCTGGGGCCAGCTGTCCGTCTTGTGTCTGTCTGTCCTGCGTCTGTCCCTGAGTTCCGGTGTGAGGTTCTAGCGCAGCTGCCGTTTGCCTTCCAGCTGCTGCGGACTCTGGAGTGTGAGAACCGGCGCCTGGAGGCGGTCCTGGCGTGGCGGCGCACAGAGCTGGTCTTCTGGCGGTGGATGGTGAGGACCCTCCTGTCGTCCCCTCCTGCAGCAGCCCCAGGCGGAGGGTGGGGATCTTCCTGTTTTCCAGACAGGAGAGGGGCTTTTAGGGAGGTCTCAGATCTCCTAGCGTAGACTTTCTCTAGGGCTTCTGCTCACCTTCTGGGGAGGCCACTGTGGCCCTGTCCTCAGCTCCATGGCCTGTGTGCCTTCCTGGACGTCGAGGCTGCTGAGATGGTGGCATCCAGCCGCTGTGGGACCTGGGGAGCCATCACTGCCCTCCGTGCCCTCTCTCTCTGTCCCCTCGGCTGGGAAACCCCACTTGGTGCAGACTGTCTCACTTGGGTCTCTGTAGGACACAGTCCTGGACACCTGTGTCCTCGGGGTGCCGGCTGCCGCCTCACAGGGCACCTTCCTGCCCCAGATCCCTGAGTGCAGCGGTGGCGTGTTGGAGCTGGTAGCGTGGGAGCTGCGGGCGCTGCAGGAGGAACTGCAGGAAGCTGCGGAGCACAGGCGGGCAGCCTGGGAGGCCAAGGTGAGGGCCAGCCTCGCTCTGGGCACTGGCCACCTTTGGGGGATGGCTGATCTGAGGGTGCTTTGAACTTGCTGGTTTCCATAGCTGCATCTGATCGAGTGTGGCCTGGTGGGTGGCACACTCACACGTGCACTCTGAGGGGCAGGAGGGCACATGGTGACGACCTCTGCTGCCGTCAGACAGCCCTGCCCCTCCTGCTGGAGGTCTGTTCTTGGATCTCTGCGTGAGGAGGGAGGGAAGCCCGTGCTGTGGGGCCTGCTGCTCCCAGGCCTCTGCCACACGAGTGTTCACACGGTGGTGCTCACTCTGTACCTGCCTGGGACTGTCGGACCTGCTGCTGGACGCCTGGGTCTCCTCCCTAAACACAGAGCTGTCCTCACCCAGGCAGGTTCGTGGCTGTGGACACAGGGCTGCATCATTCTCTTTTCTTTTTTTTTTTTTTTGTGATGGAGGAGTCTCACTCTCTCGCCCAGGCTGGAGTGCAGTGGTGTTATCTTGGCTCACTGCAACCTCAGCCTCCCAGGTTCAAGCGATTCTCCTGCCTCAGCCCCTGAGTAGCTGGGATTACAGGTGCACGCCACCATGCCCAGCTAATTTTTGTATTTTTAGTAGAGATGGGGTTTTCACTATGTTGGTCAGCTTGTTCAGGGAGCCTCTCTAAAGAGCATGGGCATTTCCTGCATGCGTGCTGCACCCGCACCCTTCATTCTGACCCAGGAGATGCTGAGGGGTCTGAGGCCAGCATCCTGGGGGGACAGAACCACCACCATTGTCTCCCACGCAGGCTGGAGGCTGTGGACGGGGGCCAGAGTGGAGTGCTGTGCGGCGGGCCTCTCGGGAGGCTGTGGAAAAGGAGCTGGGAGCTCTGCGGCGGTGCTGGGAGCAAGACAGGGACCCGGCCCAGCCCCACGTGCCACACCGGCTGGTCAGACGAGAGGATGGGGCAGCAGGGGACCGGGACCTGCGGGCAGCTGAGGTGATCAGGACGCTGAGGAGCCAGGAGGCCTGCCTGGAGGCAGTGCTGCATCAACTACAGGGACAATGTCGGCAGGAACTGGCCAGGCTGGCAGGAGCCCTGCCTGGCCTCATCTGGATCCCGCCACCTGGACGCTGAGGGCCGTGGACGGGCACTCCTGTGGGAACCCTGCCTTGGCCCAGCCCGGCTGGGTTTTGGGGGAACAGATACAGGGCCGGGTGGCCGCAGGGATGGCAGACGCAGAGCCCAGGTCATGTGCTGGCTGCGGGGGCTGGGCTGGGGCTCATGGCCAGCAGCACTGGGAATGGGTGTGGCCAGACCCCTGAGGGGGTTGTGATGGTCCAGCTGGCGGTCTGGAGGGGACTCGGGAGTGAACTGTGGCAGCTTCCCCGTGGGCAAGGCTGCCGGGCAAGGCTTCCCTGTTTGGGGAAAGGGGTGTAGAGGAGCCCTGGTCCGTGGTGGGCGGTCTAGAGCTGCCCGGGGCTGGAGGACATGTGCACCCCAGCGAGGTGAGTGGCAGGTGGGCGGAGGTGGCACAGGCCTCCCCGGCACGGGAGTGTCATGGACCCTGACCCCTTCCTCCGGTCTCCCCCTGCGGCCCAGCCCTGGGCTGTGAGCACAGCCTCTCCCCCTCCCCAGCCTTGGCTGTTCCTGGGGTGGCGCCGGATGGGAGCCCGGGGCTCTGCTCCTTCCCTGGAGGTGGTGCTCCGGGTGGGGGCACGGCGTGGACAGAGAGGCTTTGTTCCAGAGGCTGCCCAGCAAGCTCAGCTCAGCTCTGACAAAGAGCCATCTGTGTCCCAGGGACATGCCCCAGCCTGACGGAAGGAGGCTTGGCCTCATGGCACCCCCCACCCCCACCAGCAGGCACAGGTGGCTCTGAGGCCTCCCATGCCTCCCTCACAGGGCTCCCTCTCTTCTGGGGCCGTCGGACTCTGGCCTGAGGTGGGCAGAGACAGGGCTGGTGGGGCCACCTCCAGGCTCCTGCCAGCCCTGCCCTGGGGCCACGTCCATCCCGCCTGCTAGAACACGCCCTCACTGGAGCCTTTCCCACCGGCCTAGGGCTTGCGCCTGTGCGACAGTGCACACCCAGGGCTGCAGCTCCAGCCTCAGCTTGTCCAGGCCTCCTCGGCCCTGGAGGGGACACACCTAGGCTGTCTGCTTCCCCATTCCCGTGCCCGGGCCTCAGGAGCACCTCAGTGCTCGGACGTGGCCAGCAAGGCCTCCCTTTCAGGAGCACCTCCCTGACCTGCTCACGAAGCTGGGCCTCCTGCAGACTGGGCCGTGTGCAGCCCACCCTCCGGCCCCTCTGCCGGCTCTTCCTAAGGGTTCCTGCCACTTGCAGCTGCTGGGTCCAGCGCTGTGTCAGGCACTCAGCCCTCAGCCCTTCTCCACTGCAGCCTCAAAGGTCCCCGGTGCTCTCAGCCAGCTTCTTATGCCGGGAGCAAGTCCACATAAAGCCCTGCTTCTATAACCACAGACCCAGGACTCCCACGTGTAGGGCCACAGCCCTACAGGGTACTGGGGTGTCCCCTATCGCTGCTGAGGCGCAGGATCTGAGAAGTAAAGAGGACACAAAAGGACCGGAAAAGCAGCTGGGCTTCGGGGCCACGCCAGCTATGAGCAGAGACAGGTGAGGCCCCAAACGTCCAGGAGCGTCTATTTATTGGATACAAGACGGGGAAGGGTAGTGAGTGAGGTCATCTTAAGGACAGTGATAGGGTCAAGACAGTCACGTGCCCAATAAACAAGGGGTCCATCCCCATTAGGTCACTGAGGCTAGGAGGTGGGCCATGCGCAGCGCGCAGTATCTCTTGTCTGGGGCAGGCTACTTCCAAGGAATTCTGGAGGCGGATGCTCAAGTCAGCACAGTAGCAGAGCTGACCCGTCTACAGCCACCTGCTGGCAGCTTCCAGTGATTTCTATAGGAAGATGCTTTTCGAGCAGCACAGTAACAAGAGCTGGTAAAGTTCAGCCACCAAGGCGAGATTATACCGGAGGGGTTTTAAGCCCTTGGAGGCTCTTGGGATTGCAGGTCTGAGGGCAGCCTTCCGCAAGAACTGGAGCAAGGTCCTACAACTCTTTTATCAGGAGGAGTGGCTCTTGCCCCAAGCCTGCCATACAGCGGGTATCTTTACAATGCTGAACACTGCTGCCTGGGCCGTGGATTCTTGTCTTGGTATAACTTGTCTTTCCCTTAAATCATGCTCTGCACTGTGTCTGCTCCAGACAGTCTTCGACTATAAGCAAGTTATGCTTATATAAGTATAGCTGTTTATCTCTTAATTCATTCTCTGAACTGCGTCTGACCTAGGCATTCCTGACTATGAACTAAGATATAGTTGTATATATGTATGTGGAAATAACAGTTGTAGGATATTTTTCAGTTACTAATTCTGTAAACTAAGATATAAAAGGATTATATGAAGGAAATAACTGAGTAATAACACTATAAGATATTCTTCAGGCACTAATTGTGCTGGGGATCTGCTTAGCTCTCCTTCCTCAGTGCCCAGATGGGGGGTACCCATATCACAGGCCTTGGGGAGGGAGTTTGGTGGGAGTGAGGCCAGGGCTGAGGGAGGGAGGCCGGCAGTAGGGAGGCCAGGGCCGCGGGAGGGAGGCTGGCAGGAGAGAGGCCAGGGCTGAGGGAGGGAGGCCGGCAGGAGGGAGGCCAGGGCTGAGGGAGGGAGGCCGGCAGGAGGGAGGCCAGGGCTGTGGGAGGGAGGCTGGCGGGAGGGAGGCTGGCAGGAGGGAGGCCAGGGCTGTGGGAGGGAGGCTGGCGGGAGGGAGGCCAGGGCCGCGGGAGGGAGGTTGGCGTGAGGGAGGCTGGTGGGTGCTTCTGCGCTCTTGCTACGCCCCAGCTTGTGCTAGCATTTGCAGCCTGTCGTGAGGAAGGGGCAGGGATGGGGCCCTGGCCTTCAGCTCCAGCTGTTATCACACATATGGTGGCTTGAGTAGCTTGAAGTCACGGCCTCTTGTTCTGTAGGTCCCGGTGTCACCGGTCCACAGGGTTAAAGCTGGGGTGGCAGAGCTGTGTGGCCACCATAAGGTCAGCGGCAGCCTTTGCCTTCTGCCATATAGCCTGACACCAGGACTGAGACCATGCCCCCCAGCCCGAGTCTGGTGGGTGCCTGGAACCATGGAACCGCCTGGAGGCCACAGCATCGCCTGGCTGGGGCAGCAGGCCCTGCACCCTGGACAGCTGGCATCTGTGTGAGGACAGTGCAGCTGGCTCCCCAGGAAGACCCAGAGGTGGAGACGCCCCCACAGGAAACAGCAGAGGGGAGCTGGCTGTGAGACCAAGGTGCTCACTGGAAAGTGTGACCAACTTGGCTCCCAACAAAATTAGAAACTAATTTTTTTTGTTGTTTTTGAGATGGAGTCTCCCTCCATCACCCAGGCTGGAGTGCAGTGGCACTATCTCGGCGCATTGAAAGCTCCGCCTCCTGGGTTCAATTGATTCTCTTGCCTTAGCCTCCCCAGTAGCTGGTATTACAGGTGTGTGTCACCATACCTGGCTAATTTTTTTTTAAAGTAGAGATGGGGTTTCACCATGTCCAGGCTGGTCTAGAACTCCTGACCTCAGGCGATCCACCCACCTCGGCCTCCCAAAGTGCTAGGATTACAGGTGTGAGCCACCGCACCGGGCCAAAACTAATGTTTATTAAGAGATGGCGCTGCTGGATGCAGTGGCTCATGCCTATAATCCCAGCACTTTGGTAGGCCCAGGTTGGAGGATTACATGAGCCTGGGAGATCAAGACCAGCCTGGGCAACATAGGGAGATCCCGCCACTACAAAAAATAAAAAATGAGCTGGGCATGATGGTGTGTGCCTGTAGTCCCTGCTATACAGAAGGGAGGCTGAGGCAGGAGGATCACTTGAGCCTGGAGGCCAAGGCTATGTGAAGCCAAGTGAGCTCTGATCTCGCTGCTGCCCTCCAGCCTGGGCAACAGAGTGAGCCCCCATCTGAAAAAGAAAAACCAATTAGTGAGATCCAGGTGCAGTGTCTTGTATGCATTCCTACTTTGTCCAGCTCCGCCTTCCTGGCCTCTGCTTCCCTTTGTTGCTCCTTCCGGGCTCCTTCACATGGGCCTGGCCGACCCTGCCTTGAGGGATGAGGCTGACTGGGACTCCAGCCAGGTCAGGACCACAACTTTGGGGGCCTGTGGCAGTTGCACCTCCCCCTGTGCCCAGCTTTGGTTGGACAGGAGTGTTTCTCTCTTTTTTTGAGACAAGACCTGCTGTCACCAGTGGCGCAATCACAGCTCTGCAGCCTCCATCTCCCAGGCTCAAGTGATCCTCCCACCTCAGCCTGCTGAGTAGCTGGAGCTACAAGTGCACGCAACCATGCCCAGCTAATTTTTCTATTTTTAGTTTTAATAGAGTTTCACCATGGCCCTCAGGCTAGTCTCAATCTCCTGGCCTCAAGTGATCTGCCCGCCTCTACCTCCCAAAGTGCTGGGATTGAGCCACTGCGCCCGGCCAGAGAGTAATGTATGCGTGGTTTTTTTTGAGACAGAGTCTCACTCTGTCGCCCAGGCTGGAGTGCAGTGGCACGATCTCGGCTCACCGCAACCTGTGCCTCCCGGGTTCAAGTGATTCTCCTGCCTCAGCCTCCCAAGTAGCTGAAATTACAGATGCGCAGTACCACACCTGGCTAATTTTAGAGAGAGGGTTTCACCATGTTGGCCAGACTGGTCTCCAACTCCTGACCTCAAGTGATCTGCCTGCCTCAGCTTCCCAAGATGCTAGGATTACAGACATGAGCCACTGCACTCAGTCGGAGAGAAGTGTGCCTAAGTGGCTCCTGTTTATCTCACGGGGACCCTGACAGCTCAGTCCACATGGCCCTTGTCTACCCCATGTCCTTGTGCGTGGTTGTGGCTGGTGGCTGTGGAGTCATGTGTCTGTGCTCATCTCAGGCTACGTGGCCTGCATGTACCCACAGTGGCTCACTGTTGTCTGCACCCCTGCCCAGGCTCCTTGACTGCTGGGAGCACTGGGTGTGGAGCCATCCCTTCCTCAGAGTGGTGGGAGGGCGTCCTGTTCGGCCTTTTGCCGCCTGGCTGTGCTGGGCAGGTCCCTCACTCAGTCATTCCACCTGAAGTCACGTGGTGCCTAATATGTGCCATTCTGAGGGGCCCCATGGCCACATCCCAGAGGGAAGAGCAAACGCCATAGAGGAAAGTGCTCAAAACCGGAGGACACAGGTGCCCGAGGGGGCCCAGCTGCGAGGGGGGCACAAGCCGAGAGCAGGCAGCGCCAGGGCCCAGGCTTCTGCCCCCAGCTGCTGGTGGGGAGGTTTTGGGGCTCAGGTGGGCTTGGGGGAGCGGCTGGACTAGGTGGGACCTGGCCCATTCGGGCACAGGATCAGCTGCTGTCTTGGTTGTGGGTGTGATGAAGAGAGCCGTGGTGGCTGGGCCCGTGGTTGGTGGTCTGAGAGCTGGGCAGGCTGGGGTGGGCATCGCTGCTTGAGAGCCCGGCTTGGACTTACCAACAACCTTCAGCCCTGGCATTTTAGTGGGTGTCGGGTGGGTGGTCGGCTGCATGAACCTGGAATTTGGGGCTGGAGAATGGAATGTGAGAACCCAGGGCATGGTGGGAGGCAGGGCAGGGCCCCGGACGCGGTGGCCAGGTACTGCTGAGGTGCCTCGGCCTGAGGCCTAGGCCTGAGCCTGGGCCCGCACAGTGGTAGGAAGTGCAGGCAGGGCGGAGGGGGTGGCTGGCAAGTGGGGGTGCGGGCAAGTGGTGGGTCTTGGTGGCCAAGTAAAGACAGTGCTTCCAGATGGAGGGGCTCGTCACACCCAGTGCAGGCTGTGATACACAGGTGACCTCACCTGTGCCGCTGAGGATCATGCTTGGAGTGGGGTTGCACACCTGACGGGGGCTGAGGAGGGCAGGAGGAGGGCGAGGGGGCCGTGCTCTCGCCAGGTCCCCAGGGTCGTGCTGTAAGCTGCAGGAAAGACGTGAGATGCTGGTTGCAGGGGTTTGGGCTGTAGCATCCTAAATTTGGGGCCCGTATGTTTTTTAAATGAACCTGGGATTTGATTTAATCAGGGAGGGTGACGCACAGGCTCAGGAATGACTGTCTTGTTGAAAGAAAGTTATTTTATTCACAGAGATTGGGGGCCGCTCCGCGCACCTAGGTGGTTGGGGTGGAGGAACGGGTAAGACGTCAGCATCAAAACTACAGAAAAAGGTGTGGTGTGGCAGTTCATGCCTGTAATCCCAGCACTTTGGGAGACCAAGGCAGTTGAACCACTTGAGGTCAAGAATTCGAGACCAGCCTGGTCTACACAATGAAACCCCGTCCCTACTAAAAATGCAAAATATTAACTGGACTTGGTGGCAGGCGCCTGTAATCCCAGCTACCCGGGAGGCTGAGGCAGGAGAATTGCTTTAACCTGGGAGGCACAAGTTGCAGTGGGCTGAGATCGTGCCACTGCACTCCAGCCTGGGTGACATGAGCGAAACTCTGTCTCAAAAACAAACCAACAAACCAAAACTATAGAAAAAGACGCACCTAGTGCAGCAGCTGCTGTGACCTCAGCTAATAGAAGAAATGTGGGTTTTGAAGTGGGGGACTGGAGGGGATGCCCACTGGGCTGGAGGGGGGCCGGGCTGGCAGGGGTACTGGGGTGGAGAGGACACCCAGCTGGAGGGGGTGCCAACCTGGTGGGGGGCATTAGGCTGGCGGAGCCCTGGGAAGGTGGGGGCACTGGGCCGGTTGGGATGCTGCAAGGGACTGCCGGGCTGGAGGAGGGGCGCCAGGCTGGTGGTGGTGTCAGGCTGGTGGTGGTGTCGGGCTGGAGGGGACGCCCTGTAGTTTCGGGGCACAGGGAGGAAGAGGCCCGGGTGTTACTGGTGAGGGCCGTGTGCACCTGGCTCCATGTCTCCCTGGGAGGTGGGCTGGAGCAAGGCCTTGTCGATGTGAGAGCAGAAAGGAAGGGCAGTAGAGAGGGAGAGTGTTTGGGGTCTTTCCTGTGGGAAAAACCTGCTGCTCATGACCTAGACTTTGGGTGGTTCAAGAGCTGAGTAGTCACAAAGTCCTAGTAACACCCCCGTGAACCAAAGGCCAGGGCCTTGCTGTGAGCATCCTCCTAGGGCGTGGCCATTCACAGTGAGGGCAGAGCCGCTAGGTGAGTGGCTGTGGGGCACTGACCAGATGCCCATTGCTGGGTTTTTTTTTGTTTGTTTGGACAGAGTTTCGCTCTTCTTGACCAAGCTGGAGTGCAGTGGTGCAATCTCGGATCAGTGTAACCTCTGCCTCCCGGGTTCAAGCGATTCTCCTGCCTCAGCCTCCCCAGTAGCTGGCATTACAGGAATGCGCCACCACGCCCAGCTAATTTTTGTACTTTTAGTAGAGACAAGGTTTTGCCATGTTGGTCAGCCTAGTCTCAAACTCCTGACCTCAGGTGATCTGCTCACCTTGGCCCCCCAAAGTGCTGGG